CTCCTCCACCTCCTCCACCTTATCCTCATAGTGATGTTTTAAGAGTTGTAAGTTTAGATCTTACTCCTGGTGGACGTCATACTGTTGATCTTACTCTTTCAAGACCTCATCATTTGCACGGATCCAGTGCTCGTGTAATAACAAGTCCTCAACCTACAGGCTCTGGCAATGCACATATCGTACCTGACGCGATCGATGGACGAATTTTATCTTCTCCTCCACCGCCTTCTTTATCAGGATATAATCCAAATTATCCTGTAAGTCCTGCTCCATATCACCCACCAAGACCAGGATATCATCATTACTCCGGTTATTACTAACTAATGTATATTTTTATTATCTTTTCTTTATATTTTAATATAGATACCCACCGAGTAATTTTTAAAAAATAATTTTTACTATAAAAATATTTCAATCATAAATAATCAAAGATCATAATATTACTTGTCATTAATGTCAATATTTTGACATAATGTTACAAAATTCTTTATTTATTCATTTTCTCTATTTAAAAATATATGAACTAAGACCACGACTTAGACGAAGTAAAATTCTTTTATATAAAGAATAAATGCAAGCCATTTTAGTCGATTTGGTCTTCCTTGCACATATATGATAATCGAAAGTCAACGTAGATGCAGTAAATTTATAGAATTTTACCTTTGAAATTAAAGTACAACTTTGAAACAGAGAAGCGCACAAATATAATGAAACCAGTTACGTTAGATCAACTAGTTTTTGAGTGGTTTAAAGCACATGATCGGATTAGTCAACCGGTCAAACGTGATTGTATTGTAAAGAGTGACATGTATCTATTATTTTTGGAGCGAACTTTATTTTTTTAAACTATTTACGAACAAAATTGTAGAAATTCTTTCTGCATTTAGAAGTATAATGCATGATTAGAAAAAAAAAATTAGTTTCTCAGTTACACAATTCTTAAATCATATATTTATATATATTGTTCTTTTATATAATCAAAATTTTACGTTAATTGATAGTAAATTTTTTCAAAGCAATTGTTACTTCATATGAAATGTTACTTAACTTTTAGCATATATTCTTCTACTTCTTGTTTATCGATGAAAAAGTATTTGTAAGATTAACGGTAGTTGTTATAAATTTTTGCAACAGTATTTTTCGGGCGATTAATCAACGACGTCAACATTGTTTCGTTTGTCGTCGTTGTTATTTTCAAACTTAGATTCATAGTCAGTTTATCGTACATGAAGTCAAAGAAATAATAATTGAATAAATGAGAGAATAAAGAGCTGCGATATTATTAATGCATGAAAAATTTTTACTCTCGAAAAATATTGTGAATTGTAATTTCGATCATTACGATGGTTCACAATCTGCGAAATAAATCAATCGATGCCTAACGATAGTTATAAGTCTATTTATATGGTGATATTGACACTTAAACGTTTATTTTTATTCTAGTCACTCTCATATTACATTCGAAATAATATTAGTTATCATATATTAGACATTGTAAATGTCTATACTACATCAAAAATTGCAACGATTATTTAATTTGCATAAACAAAATTTTTCAATTTCGAAATGTTGTTAAAATATAAGCATATATATATATATATATATATTAATTAAGATTAGTAATGATAACAACCGAACTTATTTAAAAAATATATAACAAAATATACGTAGTTTACAGCTTTTTTCAATCTTTTTTGCTAATTATTTGCTAGTAAGTACCAAAGAATGAAAAATTGTGCAACCTTTGTGCCAAATAGATAAGATATTTATCGTATATGTACAGTTTTAATATAAGCGCACCGATTATTTTGTATTATATAAAAATATTCGTAGAATTAACAATAGATATATAAATATATATAATTTTATGTATGCATGTATGATGTATGCAAGCATATATAATTGAAAATATGTATGCATATAATTGAATGTGTGTATGTTGCACGTCCTTCTTAAATAATGCAATTATAAATTTTTAATTTTTGAAGTAAATTTCGATTAATTGTTTACCTTCTTAATAATATCGGTTTAATTTATTTTTTACATTATATATTATATATTATTATATATTATATATTAGATTTTTGCAATTTAGAGCTTCCTGTTATATTTTAATTAATAATTATACATTTTATAATTTATTACTTATAATTTTTTTCATTTCAAATAATAGCAGAAATAATCAAGAAAATTATTTCTTTCTTAGTATTTATGTATTCATATATATTATTATATTATTATGTATTCATATTACTAGCTACAATTACATAAAACAACAATGTTCATAAGTACAAATATAACATGAATACATACATTTGTATTGGATTTCTTAATATGGTAAAAGAATTAATGGAATAAATGATAAAAATAATAAAAATAAATAAAAACAATTATAAAAGTTATATTTTTTTATTATAACTATTGTCAACTAAAGATTACAAAAAAAAAAAATTATAATATTATTTATTAATATATTATATATAATATATTATATTATATTAATATATTATATGTTATATTATATTATAATATTAACCTCATTGATCATCGTATTCTCATTTAAATTGACGCACATCTTCGCGCTTCTGAATGCAGCGACATCGACTTATATTATCAAAATGTTCCTCTCTATTCAACGATACGTATATATATAAGGCATATGATATATACGAGCCGAGTCGAGCTGAGATCCCTAGTTTTGCAGTTGTTCATCGGTGTCGTTTTATAATATATTTTCTTTTTAAAGAAAGGTTTCCAAAAAGTAAAAAAATGGTTAGCTCGGTTGTGCGGTCTTCTTTGCTATATCCTACGGTAAATAATAATTCTCCTTTTTCTTTTTTTTAATTATTAAAAAATATCATTTATTACATATTAAGATAAGATCAAGTTATTTAAATGTTATATAAACGGGTCGATACTGTTCGGTACGTCAATTTCTGTCGCATTAGTTAGATAGACTACAGTGTATTAAGTAACTATATTCTTTCTTCAATTAAATTTTAATATTTTCTTTTTATTTTGTCTTTATAATTTTCTAATAATTGTTTTTATAGCATTCCTTTTAAATATAAATATATTTTAAGAATAATTTTCTTTTCTAAAATTTTAAAATTTAAAAATAAAAAATAAAAAAGATATGAAAAAATATAAAGATAAATATGTATCAAAATTAAAAACATTTTTTAATATATATTAGGTTAGACATTATGCAGTTGCAGCAACTGTATCAAAGTGTGCTGCACTAGCTCCTGAAATTAAAGTTTTAAACAATAAAGTTACTATTGCTGCTTATGATAATCATGCTCCAATTGCACAAGTTTCCATTGTATTCAGGTATTCAAAAATCTAAATAAGTTATATATATATCAATCATAATATTTCTTATATATTAATATTATAAATATTTTATTTATAGAGCTGGATCACGAAATGAAACACATGATACACAAGGCACAGCACATTATTTGCGAATAGCTGCAGGATTAAGTACATCTTGTGCAACCAGTTTTGCCATAACAAGAAATATTCAACAACGTGGTGGAAATTTAATAACTACTGTTGATCGTGAAAGTATAGCATATACCTTGCAAATTACTAAAAACAATTTGTAAGATTTTTTTTATTTGCTATTTGCATTAAAATTAAATTTTTTTATAAACTATTTGCTTTTTATTAATAGAGTAGATGCTCTTCAATATCTGGAATTTGCTGCTACTAAGCAAATTTTTAAACCATGGGAAATAGCTGATGAGTTGCCCAGATTAAAATATGAACTCTTTTCCCTATCTGATTCAGTTCTAATATTAGAACTTTTACATAAAGCAGCTTATCGTAGTGGACTTGGATATTCTCTTTTTTGTCCAGAACATCAATTGGGTAAAATTGGTACAGAAAGTGTAAGTATAATAATTTTTATACAATATAAAATTTCTGCTAAATAATGATTTTATGATTTATTTTTTATTTATAGTTACAACATTTTGTCAATACTTGGTGTACTGCACCTAGATGTGCAGTTGTTGGTACTGGTGTTTCATTATCAGAGCTTACTGCTTTAGGATCAAATTTAAGTATTGGATCAACAGATAATACAAATGAAGAATCAAAATATTATGGTGGAGAAATTCGTAAGGAAACTGGATCAGATTTGACTAGTGTAGCAATAGCAGTAGAAGGTGTAAGCTTGAAAAATGAGAAAGATGCATTAGCATGTGCAATACTTCAAAGAGCATCCGGTAGTGGACCAAGAGTTAAGTGGGGATCTAGTCCTAGTTCATTGCATAAACAAGTTTCAAGTGCTGCAGGCAGAGAACCATTTGGTTTATCAACTTTTAATGCTAGCTATACAGATTCAGGACTTTTTGGGGTTGTTTTGTGCTCAACGTCTAATGTAGCAGGATTTGTAAGTTATTATAAAAAATTATAATTATAATAAAATAATTTCCATATATATATATATTAATTTGTATTATATTTATAGTTGACAAAAGCAGCCTGCGAATGGTTGAAATGTTTTAAATTATCCAATGATGATATTACTCGTGGTAAGAACATATTAAAAACTGAAATTCTGGACGCAGCAGATAATTCACTTTGTTTATTGGAAAGTATGCAACAACAAGCTGTGCTTAAAGGGAATATTTCTTCACCAACATCACTAGTTAATGACATTGATCAAATTTCCTCGTCTGATGTTAAAGATGTATTTATTTATAGTATAATTCTTCTTTCTACACTTATTGCATTTAACAATATTAATACAAATAAATGTTTTTTAGATTGCAGACAAACTTATTAAAGGAAAATTATCCGTAGCTGCTATTGGTAATTTGAAGACTGTACCATATATTGATGACTTAAAATAGACTTAGTAGATTTTTAAAGAAATAACGAACTACCGAAACAAATATTAATTTTTTTTGCAAGAGATTGAGAGGTGCATGAAAATTGCCAATCAAAATTGGTACAAGATATTTAATATTTGTGTGCATTTCATTGCAGTGAACGTAATTCTGTAGATATGAATAAAAATAAAAATTCTTTATTTCCAGTTTTTGTTTTTATATATATTATTTTTAATCTTTTCCTAAAAATGCATTATTAAAAATTTATATATTTATTATATATATATATATAATATTTAAAAGTATTTTACAATTTTATTTACATATTAACAATGTTGTAAGAAGTAATTAATATTAAAAATATTTACATGTATACATTTGAATTATTATTATTAGAAATTACTTTATGTTTACATTATTAATAGAGTTTTATTTCTTCTATCGTATAAAATTTATTACGATTTTTTTGTATTAGTTTAGATGACTTCCCATTAATTGTTCTTATTAAAATGGGTCTCATGTTTTCCATATCTTTAAATACTTGTAACTGAAAAAAAAATTTATTAATATAGAAAATAGAATATTTATTAAATAATTACTAAAATAATTTTTTTTGTTTGAATTACATATATAACTTACATGACTGTCTAAAATATAATTAAGTTTATTAAGTAGCAGTGATACTTCTGGATCTTGTGATAACACATAATGTTGATAATGAGATTCTAATAAAAGACTGGACCATTCATATAATTGTTTATCAGTTGGTTGCTGTGCAATATCGTGATAAAAATCTTCGGCATCTAATTTTTGTATTAAATAATGTAATAATCGAAGAATTTCATTAAAATTCAAACCACTTTTAAGAAATGAGGATAAAAAAATATCAGAATAAGTAAGACTAAAAATTTTATCAAGAAAATTATTTCTTGAATATAAACTTTTAGTTATCAAATTATGATCTGTACCATTTTGTAACGGTAAAAATGTTTCATCAGGATTTCTTAGTGCAAAGATTAAAAGATCAGTTAATAATTTTTCTGGTAAATCTTTAAAATTA